ATGATCACACTCTCCAGCTCCCTCCCCGCCAATTCCGACTTTTATTGTAACATACAAGGAAAACACTGCCCCCGACATTTGCATACCGCACCCACGGTCCGGCCCCTCGGTAGTGATTGGTTACCTGAGTTTAAGCTTTGAACCACAGGTACATTGGAGCCTTTCTGTCTGGTCTACACTGTATCAACATGTTGCAGACTTTGCTGACGACAAATGTCGCCTGGGCGGGACGGGTGTTCTCACCTCGTCTTTTGTTGTTCACCCGCTGTTCCCGAATTATTCATTCCCCTTTTGTGACCGAGTTTCGCCCTCTCCCCTGTGATCGCCCACCTGCATTGACGTGCTAATTGCACACACACACACACACACACACACACACACACACACACACACTCACACACACACACACACACACACACACACACACACACACACACACACGCTTCCCCCAATGCATTTCAATGGACATCAGTTATTTGCCGATTTTCGCTATCGTGGGCCGGCCGAGTGCCTATCCTTTATGAATAGTGGGGGTCCACTGCCCATCGAAACATCGAAACAAAAAAAAATATCAGTATCACGATGAGTATTAAAATATTAATACATAATAGAGTACCATGACAAATTTGCATTAAACGCTTTTCAAACAAAAAGCAATTAAAGTGTGATATCTTGTAACATTTACCTTTTTTTTCCTTTTTATTTTTGGAAGAAATGTCATTGGCATCACTATTTTTCATTGTTCTTTACATGTTTTAAATTTTGTTTGAAAATACATGCATCTATTTTCTGTCATACTTATCCTTGCTTTGGACGTGGGAGAGCTGCCTTTACGGCAGAGGCTGGGTACACTGTGAACAGGTCACCGGCCAATCGCAGGGCATATTAAAATGCTGTTTCATTCAAATGAAATTTCACCTTTGACCCAAACAAACAGAAGGGCAACAGACCTTTGGCGTTAAAGCCTCGACACTGCCTGAGAGGATCGCCGTGCTTGACGTCTTGTCTTCTGCTCCTCCTGCAACAGATGACAAAATCACCGTAAGTCGCGCCGTCCGTCGCAAATTTGTCTGCAATGTGCTCAGCACCTCTTGGTGGAAGGAGTGAAGGCCGAGCAGCTCTCCCCGTCCCAGGCGCAGTAAGGATCCCGAGCCAGGCAGCAGTCGGAGCAGGCTCTACCATAAACGCCGCAGCGGTGCAGCGACACCTGCGTCAAGCCCGCATCCGATGATACATACAGCTGTTGCTGCAAGACACAAGATAAAACATCTTCGAGGTGAGTCATGGTGTCCTCACACAGGTGTAAACCGCCGCAACGCTTACTTACTCGTTTAGAAGAGATCTTCATCGTTTTGACAGGAGCTCGACTCTGTGAAGGTATGAAAAAAAAAAAAAAAAGACAATGGACTAAGATGTTAAAATTGACATGCCCTTGTGACAAAACGGTAAAGAGAAGACATACCCGGAACACTTCCACTTCCTCTAACGTCAGCTCCTCCATGCTGGTGGGGTCTTTGGGCAAAACTATGACTTTCTGGATGGTGCCGCGATCTGAGGAGAGTGAAGTAACATAACATAAAAGAAGTAAACACACAACAAAGAGAATCCCACCATGTGTATTTGAAGCAGCCACATATCCCATCTTTTAAGTCAGCTAAGATTACAGCTAATGCTAAATAGCCTTTATGTTGTGGTGCTATAACCTTTTAAGTAACGGAATGAACACAAACAGTGCAGTATTACATGTAGACACACAAAATAACGGTACTTTGTCATATTATTTACACTCTGCAAAGATTCAAATTAGTGCTGTACTGATGAGCTGAGAGAGGTGTAGAGACATCGCAATGAACAGCATATGTCTGTCTGTCCTTATGTGCACCCGTGTGCATTTTTATTTGCTGTAATCTGTGAGATCACCACATTCTGCAACAGCGATTCAAATTTTTAATAAGTGAGTGATCACCCACTCATGAAACTAGTTACCAAACTCGGCATACTACGCAAATGTTCAGTCGGGTTCGTCCGCATTGATTGGTGTCCAGAAGCCAAGCACCATAAATTGCCTGTGCGGATGGCATTTTCTCACAGGCATGTAGAAAATGTTTGCTCAGGTAGTTTTTGAATAATTTAGCCAAAATGGCTCATTTCTTAGCGAACACAACACATCTATTTATTTTTTTTTAAATCGAGTTGTTTGTTACAATTTAAACTACAGCCACATTCTCTTTTGAAAGCAATTCACCTCACATCACATTTTCCTGGCTGACTTCACACATTAAAACTCCAAAGTATAGGAGAGTATAATAGAAAAATTGTTATTCAAGCCATTTACAATGTTTTTTTAACTGCTCTGCTTTGATCAAATCGGTTTGCTTAGTATGATGCAGCCAGGGAATGGTTGGAAGTATGGGCTGACGTCATGGTTATAAGATGTATACGTTTCGATTACTGAGTAGAAAATTAAAGTCTGAACAGCCTCCTGGAAAGTACTTTACTGTAGTTCGAGTGTAAAAAAAACCTCACCTGTGCCCAGAAACAGCACCTCGTAGCGTCCATCCACAGCATCCACCTGATCCACCACCAGGGCTGTGAAGCGGTAGTCCACACCGGTTCTCACCACTAGAGGGCGACGGTGGATAGGATAGACGGGCTGGAACATGAGTGGGTGAGCTCGGATGAAATTGACAGCCTCATCAGAGAAACTCTTGGAGGAGCGGATCCCAGGGGTGAAGGTTCCTCCCGGGCACTAGATGACAAAGAAGAGGTGCGCATGAGTCTTTTGCCTTTGTGTATTTAAGAGGAACAAAGAGGGCTGATACGCACCGTTCCCGGTCGGGGGTACGGAATCTTGCCATTGTACTCCGTCCACTGGTAATTGTGGCCATGCTTGTGGGCGAACGGCCCGTTGAAGACATTGCGGATGTCGGCCATGGAGTAGACGCAGACTGCTGAGCCCTTGAATACAGAGCTGGAATACAAACAAATACCCTGACCGATTGATTTTTTTTTTCCATATACATCTCTGGGGGGGAAGACACCAAAATAACTTTTAGGGTATTACGGCAATAATTTTTACGTTTCTGCAAATAAATGCCCTAAATCCACGGTTCTCATCTTTTTTCACTATTGTTGCCAAGCCTTGAACTACTTTTTCAGAAGAGTAGATTTCAATACTCCCAAAAAAAACAAGTCAAATACAGACGCTCCCCAGGTAACGAACGAGATACGTTCCGAAGGATCGTTCGCTGGCTGAATTCGTACGTAAGTTGCTTCAGTGCTATATTTTGTATGGAATGTATGTTTAAGGCTTATATAAGTGTAATAAAATGAAGTTTAACATACTTTTGGAAGATGTACTCGAAGGCTTAAGGAGATGATGGAGGGGGAGAGAGTTCCGTCTCGAACTTCTTCATGGGGACAGGCGTTTCCTCCTCCTCCTCTCACAGCGCCTCACGTCGGTATTAGCGGCGGAAAGAAGTACTACAGTACTCGGAAAAAGGCGCGCAATACAAAATGTGACTGACAGCATCTCTGTCCGAGAACATTTTTCGACATACCTGTACCCGCAAAAATGTTCGTATGTACCGTTGTTCGCAACACGAAAGTTCGTAAAGCGGGGAGCGCCTGTACTCTTATTCGTTTCATCAGTCATGATGACATGACAGTAGCACATGAGAAATATGATGTGTGAAAAAAATCACGGCCTCTCGACAACATTTAGTGTTATAGTACGACTTTATTACGAATAAAGAAGCAGATCAGTGCGAGGCCCCAAATGATTGATACCTGATGGGTTGCTTTTCCTCAGACGCGGTGGTTTCTCAACGTGGAAAATGCTTATCGGCCGTGTAACCCCACTTATTTCAGATTTTTTGGAGTACGTTGTTTTAACCCCCCACTCCCCCCTCCACACACACACACACACACACACACACACACACACACACACACACACACACACACACACACACACACACACACACACACGCACCAGAATGGACGTGCTAAATGGGCAGATTTTCACAATTGGCAAGCCAGCCTGGTCCTTATCTCCAGTGAATAGTGGTTGTCCACTGTGCATGCATATTAGTATCATGATCCAGCAACTGAAGCATCAGCCATACTTACCTGTCTATCAAAGACACACGTTTAAAGTGACATCATAATCGTCTTGATGAATCATATCTCACAAGTATTTTGTGTTAGATTAAAAACAAAAAACAACACAAAATAAATTGGTCGGCTTAAATTCTTAAGTTTTGAGGACCAATTGAAAATGGAAAGAACAAATAACACACAGATTGTGCTTGAATCAGAAATAAAAAGCCAAATCAAGCGCAGTGCCCTGTCGGAATGTCAAATAAATAAATAAATAGTCTGAAGATTGAGGCTGCTCACCCCGCAGTAGTAAAGAGTGCAAACACCATCGGGTTTCGTTCGTCCTGTGTCGGCTGGATGAATACGTCACCTGCGGGATCGGGTGTGCACAAATCAATAAGAGAGAAGTCGCCGTTAAAATGCAATTTGTCGCGGCTGTCTCACGTAATTCATCAAATCGCGTTTCCACTCCATCATCGCCGATCACTGAGCAGATAAGCCGAGCTTTGAGAAACGTCGTCCAGCGGTTCACCAGAGATTTCTGACCCCCTTCGTCATTCTGAAGACAAAGGAAAAGAGGTTGCGGTTCATTGTGTCCAGTTTCGCTTTTCAATTTCAAGATGAGGTGGATGAAGCGATGCCTTGACTCTTCAAACCCACCTGATTCAATTGTTCATGATAGTTTCAGGCCTTAACAGAGCTTGCTGCTGAGCTGCAAGCATCGTTTAACTCAATGTGTTGGAGCAGGGAGGGATCTAAAACAGGCAGGATATGGCTCTCAAAGAACCGGAGTTCCCTGCCCCTGCTTTAACGCATTCTGAGGACTAATTAAGAGGGGGGAGGCATATGTTCTCAATTATTATAATTTTTTTTTTTTTTAATAACTTGAAAAGTTCAGCATTCGTAACATTGCGGTTCCACCGTACTTGTTGCTAAGTTGCCTTCCACCATCGAGTGCTTGTAAGTTGAGTTTTTGCTCGCAGCTCAAGACAAGTAAGTTGAAGCGCCGTGGTATTTGTACAGGTGACTCACCAGGCACACCCTGCCCACCCTGGCCAAGATGTTGGGGCCTCCGCTCGAGTCTAAGCTCTTCTCGCGGAAAAAGAAGTACAGCTTGTCGTCGTTGCTCTCTGCACTGTCAGGGATCTGTTGGATCTGAACAAACACAGGTTCTGGAGGACAAAAAAAATTGTTTAGTAAAAAGCAGATAAGCAGCGGGACGACTGAGCCAAGTGTCCGTGATGAGTAACGACACAGGAAGCATAACCTGTAATCGACCAAGTTTATCGCCACACACCCTCCATTACTCACCGTTGAGCCACCTGGAATCGTACTGTTCCGTCCGGATGGCAGTTCTCCCACCCATGGTCCTAAAGAGAGCTGCATCTGTGCTCATGAAGTCAATATGGACCCCTGCATACAGGTTACCATCTAAAGTGGGGAACATTTAGCAGAACAAAGAAGACTGAAACATGTTTTGTCTGTCTGCTTATTAATTGTTGATCACGAAGGGATCTTACAAATAAGAACTGCGACGTTCTCCTCTTTGGGATCATAGGAACATTTTCCCTTCCCGGAGTCCACATACCCGGGGACCAGTCGAAACAGGTAGTCCTGCGCAGACGGATTACAGTCGGCATAAAAATAGATGGCTTTAACGTCACAAGGGAACACAGGAAAATCATAAACAAATCAGTGTCCTAGTTTGTACTCCTGAAATATTTAGCAGGACAAAGTTTCCAGGTCTGCCGCACGGAGATTCTATCCACGAATGCCGCTCGAGGGGGTGTGAATGTGTTCACCTCGGCCCTCCAGCCTCTGTTGATGAATGTGCAGATGGGTTGGTAAGCCCCCGTTCCACAGGTGTAGAGGTGGGTGCGGTTCCATGGCTCGATCAAGCGTACGAAGTTGGCGCATTCGCCCTGGACAACGGGGAATTTCAACATGCTCTTTACATGCTCTTGATTTTGAAAGCAAAGAATGTAAATACAAGATCACACCTGTCTTCCCTTTCCTGTCATCTGGCACTCCCCTTTCCTCTTGGCAGATGCTGGCCAGTGGATCTGGTTTGAACACACAAATGACTTATTAGGGAGTCAGCATGGATAATAAATGCCTCTAATATCGTTATTTATTGCCTAGTGATGAAAACAAAAAACGGAATTAACCTACAATACATTTTTATGCATGTAGTGTATGTCAAATTGCAGTCACAATATTGGGGGGAGATTCCAATTTGATTATTTTCACATGGACGGGGAAATAATGTTAAAGGTACCAGGATGATTTTCAGTTTTAGGAACATCAGAGCATTGTGAAAGTTTAAATGAATCGTGGATGAAGAGGACAAAAAAATAAAGAAAGAAAGAAAATGTGTTTTTGATTGAGACATATGGTTTCAGTTTTTCCACATGGCTGACTGAATTTTTCTTCATTAGTTTTGTGTAGATTTGGCTTTGTTCTTGTGGTTGCGTTTTCGTAACTGCTATGATCTCATCGTCATTACAACCGCACACAACTCAACGTTTAAAGTTAGTTAAAATAATGTGAGATCAGTCTGGGTCACCCAGAGCCAACTTCCAAAAATGTTTTATGGCAAGGTGTGCCTTAAAACAAAAGCATTTTGTGAGGGAAGGAATGCAGCTTGCACTTAAATACCAACAGCAAACAATTTAATCCTTGAATACGGAAATGTCCCCATGACTGCACGGTGATTTTTGTTTTAATCTTGAACAGTCCAGAGCACTGTCGGATCTTTTAACATGATCCTTTTAAGATCTTAAATCAAAAATGCCTGAAGCTATCACACACTTCACTGATGTTACACTGCTGCCAAGAAATTAAGTTTACTTTTCCATCTTATATGCGGTCTGATTTTACAACGCCTCCTACATTTTCACTTCAGTCAGTCAGGTTTCATTTAATGCCACAATAGCAATAGAAGATAGCAGCAATGTGCTTCCTAAATATTGTGGTCTTTTTTTTTTCTTGATGCCAGTGTACATTCTCAGTGATGCAGGTAATGGTAATCCACAAAACGTTGAATTGAGACAAGTAGAGTCTTCTTATTTCTTTTTTTTTTTGGGGGGGGGTGGTGGTGGTTCCCAAAAACTTTTAAATAGAACTTCGGTAAATGTGCTATTAGACCACCTAATTGTTTATTATGACTTGCACTGTACAGTAGGGTGGTCCATTTTGGAAAAGTTTGTCGGATTCGTCGGGCCGGGTCGGAAATCTTGTCGATACTATGACACAAGGATGTGTGCAAAATTTTATTCCGATCGGATAATTTTATCCCGTCCCGCAGAGCGACCAAAGTTTCCCCTATGGAAAGAATGTTACGGGGCTGAATGGTAGTACGGTTTCTCCCGTACAGTAAGGATTTTGTTTTGCTCAGTTCGCACTTGCAA